CTGGTTTTGCCTTCAGTCTCTTGAGTGGTTGTTCCTCAAAGATACTTACTGGAGGGGCTCAGTCGGTTAAGCGTCCAGCTCTTGATTTTGGGTCAGGTCATGATCCCAGGGTCATGGGATTGAGCCCCATGTTGGGCTCTGTGCTGGGCAGGGAGACTGCTTGGGATTCTCTCTCTCCCTCTGCCCCTCCCCTGCTTGCACTCTGTCTCTCTAAAAATAAACTTAAAAAAAGAAAAAATCTTACTGGAAGTTTCCCTGCAGGAAATTAAAGGTGTTCCTGGAGGACACTGGCCCTCCTGAGAAGATCAAATGACAAGGGCACAGGTGGTTTCTTCAGTGATAGCAGTTCTTGGTTACTGGTGACTGCTTCTCTCTGGTTGTGGCATCTCACCTTGACCAGATGTGATCCAATTCTACAAAGTAGCCAGAGGCCATGAAGAAACATAGGGGAGAAAGGAAAGAACGTGAATATTCGTTTATTCGTTTATGAAATAAGTCATGAATGAATGAATGCATGTAGTCATTTAAGCAGCAACTATTGAGTTCCTACTTTGTGCCAGGCATTATTTTAGACTCTAGGGATGCAACATAGTGAACAAGACAGAAAATTTCTTACCCTCAGATTATACGCTAGTGAGAAAGATAAAAAGTATAGTGTCAGGGTAATATGTGCTGACAGTTAATGAAGAAGAGGGGAGGGATAGAGTTGGTGATGGTGACAGTTACCTAAGGCGATGGGGAAGAGGCTCTGAGGGGAGGGGCTCCTTGGCAGACGCCTGGATAAAGAGCATGCACCTGTGTATTTTGTCAGGCGGTATGTTTCAGTCCACAGGAGAGGCGGGACATGCTCACACGGGGTCAGGGACACTGGTGAGGCTGGGGAACAGAGCATGGGATGTCCTCCTCATTTATGTTACTTGTGAATGTACTTTTTTCTTTTTTTTTTTTTTTTAAGTTTATTTTGAGAGAGAGAAAGTGAGCACAAGTCGGGAAGGGGCAGGGAGCAGGAGAGAGAGAATCCCAAGCAGGCTGCAAGCGGTCAGCAAGGAGACCGACCTGGGACTCGACCCTGTGACCTTGAGATCAGGGCCTGAACCCAAATCAAGAGTTGGACCTTTTTTTTTTTAAGTTTTTTTTTAATGTTTATTTATTTTTGAAGGAGAGAGAGAGAGAGAGAGACAGAGTAGTACTTTGTATGAGTACTCTACATGAGTAGTTATAAGCAAGTAGTTATAAGCAGAGCAGTTCTACTTTGACAGATAGGTATAACTCACTGATGCTCTTCAGTTTAGGAAAAAAAACTGGCTTATCTTGTAAAAATTGCTGTTTAGTGTTCCTTTTTTGTTAAAATATAGGAATTTAACATGGTTCCTGATGAAACAGGAAAGGCATTTGAGGAACATAGTAGCTTAAATTCTTACGTGTTGAATGTCTTATGTTACGAAGATCAATAGATGATTATCGTTGTACAGGAATATTTTGACAAAACCGGTAGTGGACGTTCTTTGCTCCCTTTGTTTCCTACCTTGCTGCCCCCACCCTGTCCACCAGCATAACTGGCAGGGTTAACAGCAAGGCTTGGGAAAAGAAAGAACTTGCTAATCATAACTGACAGGAAGTTAAACTACAATTTTGTGTGCTTGGAAAACTGTTGAGAAAATTTTGGTAAGCATTAAGTGCTTCTCTGGAAGGAATGATGTGTTACCACATAGCTACCGATGTGGCTGGAAGTGGTGAGAACACTTGGAAGAGAAGCAAGGTCAGTAAGTAGCTGTGGAACATGAGAACTGTTCTGGGTCTATCCTTTTCCCTTTTTTAGAGGCCTGAGAGATTTTTGAAATAGTACTGAGGCTTTTTATGCATGGATGCTAAATACAGAACATAATCCTTATTTAAAAAAAAAAATGCGAGAGTAGACAGAATCACTGACGATTAAAATTTTTGTGAATTTTAGCAAGTGAGTCCCAAGTAATAATGTTATTAATGTTGTTATGGGAAATCTTACCTGTTTGCGTTTGAAAAGCCAAATATCAGGCTGATTGTTCTGTTTCCAGCTATATTAAATCAACATTTCTTAGAAGTGGTCTTTAAAATAGACACGTAGGAAGACAAAGACTATGGCTATATTTACCTCCAGTTGTTTCTAGAATGATGAAGTACGTTCCTGTCTGTAAAGTCAGATATTTTATAAACATAGTAAATTCTTTATTTTCTCAACATTTTGCCTAAATATCTAAAATAGGATCTTTCCTTAAACTTACTAGCTAACTGTGCCCATAACATAATATTTTTAAAATAGCCACATTAGTATAACCGTGTTAGAAAAGTGGTGTTAATGTGGATTGTTGACGGCGGCCGTAATCTTTGTTCTTGTTGTGACAGTAGCACCGAGCCATTTTCATACTGATCAGACACTGTGATGGGATTTGTTAGAAGGCCTCTGTTTCTAGATAACATGTGTCTACTTCTGTTGTCAGGTACAGTGTGTGTACGAAACAGATTTTGCAGTTATATTTGCTCTTTTTATAGTTCCTTTTCAGAGTATTACCATTTGTCTTGAATGTCATGTGTAATTTCACAATGAAAGAATTTACTAATTAAATGAAGGGCTCTGGCAGTGGGTTTTCCGGGGCACGAATCAAGAAGCAGCATTTTTGGACCTTTCTCATGTCCTTTGAATAGGAGAGTGTGCGCCTTGTGATTTCTTATTCTGTTTTTACTGCTTTGGGAATTCAGAACTTTTACTTATTAGTACTTCATGTTTTGGCAGCTTCCAACAGGGTGAGAAATTTTAGGTCTGTTTTGAAAAAGCTGTGACAGGAATATTACATACACCTGTGACAAAGATGTATGTAAGTTATTGGAACGGCAAGGAGACCTTAGTTTTCTTGGAGAGTAATTTATATGCTTCTGTTTATTGTTATTTAAAGTAACCTCCATCCCAACTGATACATCACTTGCTTCCGAAACAGAACTACTCCTAAGTTCTAAAGTTTAATGTGTAACTGTAGTTAGCACGCACATGGTGGAGAAAAAGCACAGACACTGTGAAATAGCACATTTCTCATTCTGAAATACACATTCGACGAACCTCATTTTTCTCCACTGTTGCAACTAGCTGGCCTTTCAGTTACACTTTTTACTCCTAGGAGGAAGGGTAGGAGGGCTTGTCTCTTGTTGGACGACTGTGAAAAGAATCTGAGACCACAAGGTTGCACTTCACATTTCAAAAGAGTTAATTTGTTTCCTACCAGCATTATGAAAACTTAGAATTTTGGTATATCTTAGGGGCACCTGGGTGGCTCAGTGGTAGAGTTTGTGACTTTGATCTCGGGGTCATGAGTTCAGACCCCACATTGGGCATAGAGCTTACTCAGAAAAAATAAAGTTGTGGTATATCTTGCACTTTCAGAAAGTTCTCTCTTTTTTTTTTTAATTTTAATTTTAATTTTAATTTTTTTATTTTTTTTCAATATATGAAGTTTATTGTCAAATTGGTTTCCATACAACACCTAGTGCTCATCCCCAAAGGTGCCCTCCTCAATCAGTACCCATCACCCACCCTCCCCTCCCTCCCACCCCCCATCAACCCTCAGTAGAAAGTTCTCTTAACAGTTAATATCTAATTGCATATTGGTATTTAAATTAAGAAAATACTTAACTACACCCTGTCACCTAGGGCCTGGATGATACTAATTACATGGCTTTGGTGTGCGTTGGTCGCATTTTACAAATGTAGTTGCTTTAGTTTTGCGGGGAGGAAGCGTCTGATAGTACTTTTTTAAACTTTATTATAGAAAAATGGAAATATTCACAAAGTAGGAGTCGTATAAGGAATCTACATATATTCATTTCCGGTCCTTACCGGTTTAATATAATGGCCAGTCTTGTTTTATCTGTACGCTTCCCTACAGTAGTTTCCTCCGACCCCCAGTGATTTTGAAGGAAATCCCAGACATCATGTAATTTCATTGAGAAATATTTCAGTGTGTATCTCTAAAGGAGAATCAAATTATCTGTATTCCCTATGAGTACTAGCTAGCTTTGTTGTGGAGAGGAAGTTCAAGAGTGCTTGGAAACGGGCCTGCTATTGCATTTTATTGTGGTTATTTTGCATTTAGAAAGATCAAGAGTTTATACTACTTGGGCATTTTATTATTATAGTAACTCTCAGAGGATTTGAAATGTTGATTTTATAAATAATATCTAAAAAACATTATGAATTACCATCATGAATATGTATGAAGTCGTGTGACAGTCCTTATTTCTGAGCTGACCAGCAGCTTGCTTTGTGGTCTGTCCGTGGCTCCCCGCTGCCCCTCCAAGATTTTTGTTTCTTTCTTTAAATGCTGAGAACCAGCAAGTGTGTAACGCTTAGCACGTTTCACATTTGAGCTGAAGTTCCGTAAGCCTCCCTGTGTCAAAGAAAGCGACAGCAGAGAGACCAATGGTGCACGTGGGCTGCACACGAGAAGGGAAGACAGGAGGGGGTATCACGGCAGCCAGGCCCCCGGGTGGGGGTGACTCCCCTTCTTTCCCTCTTGCTCACCCAGCCTCCTCTCCTGGTCTTGACTTGTTAGTTTTTTCTTGGTTCCCCTTTAGTGTCTGTCTTTCCCTTCTCTCAGCCTTGACTTAATTTTGCCAGTGGCATTCATCATCAGGAAGGTTGCTCATCCCTCCCTTGGAAGGGTTGTAAGATGAAACTTTAAAAAATGAAAGCTTTTAGGACTCATTTGTTGTGCTTTAATTTGGTTTCTGTACAGGTTTTTAAAAATGTTTACTTTAATTCAGGTAGCTCAATACCAGCTATGGGTAGATTGAACTTTTTTCTACCTGTGGATGAGTTACACAATGTATTAAAACCATTAATTTTAGAGACTTTAAGGTTTACTTTAGATGCTGTTATTGAAAAAACATGTAATAATAATTTTTCCTTCTTTGTTGTCTTTTGCTGCCCATTTATTGGATGAAACGGATTCGGTTCAAATGTGGCTCTGCAGTTCACAAGATTCCTTTGCAGCTCACCTTTGGAGGTAAGCGTTTATTCACTGACCTTCACACTAGGATCGCTAATTGGGCACGTCACTATTGGTATGTTTTGTTAGGCATTTATTTGATAGTTTAGAGGTGATCATTTTGTTTTAACACATATGAATGTTGATGAATGAGATGAATTCCAGTAAGTTACAGAACTGTTCACCTTTATAACAGGTCGTTGCTTCTTTTTAAGTACATTTTCTTTCTTTAAGCAAACTGAAATCAGTCTTTCATTGTAAAAAGCCTTATTGTATCTGCTTCCTTAGTAACTGACACTAGCCTTACTCTGTCTTAACTGTGCTGGCATTAAAAGAGAGCTAGAGGGGTCATGGGTGGAGGGGGCGTTGTCAGGGAAGTTTCTGTTGGTTTAAGAGTGCTATTTCAGGGGCGCCTGGGTGGCGCAGTCGGTTAAGCGTCCGACTTCAGCCAGGTCCCGATCTCGCGGTCCGTGAGTTCGAGCCCCGCGTCAGGCTCTGGGCTGATGGCTCGGAGCCTGGAGCCTGTTTCCGATTCTGTGTCTCCCTCTCTCTCTGCCCCTCCCCCGTTCATGCTCTGTCTCTCTCTGTCCCAAAAATAAATAAAT